ATTTCATAAATTTATGCATGCAAACATGACTGCATTTTTCACATTGCCTGCACATTTCTCAGATACGGACAGCAGTTTCTTCCTTATTCCTTTCAGTCCAATTTGCATCTTGTTCTGCTGGAAATCATCGAAGAAATAATGTTTCTATTCTATCTATAAGTGACTTTCTTTCATTTAGGGTACTTTAAGGTGTTATTGTATATCTATAATTGTTTTCTGTGGTGTTGGGTGCTTCAGTTTATATGAAAAAGGACTCCTAGGTCCTTCGCTCAAAACAATGTATTTTCTTACCGTATCTTCTGGGAATAACTTTCCTCTTTGTTGTTTAATCTTTTGCATTAGATCTCCATCATCACAATATTCCATCACTATATACAGATGTCGATCAGCTAAATTTTAGGTAATTTAAGAATAATTATTAATTTCATTATCAGGCTAAATATATTATTGTTACTATAAAGCTCCAACTACTTGCTATGTATTATAATAAACGTGTATTTTGTTTCTAACATTACTATAAAAAATACATAAAGAAATCTTGATCCCTCAGGAGTATGCAATTTTAAACAAAATAAAGATATATTAAGTTTTTATATTTACCTTCAAATGATTCTTTATAGGCAACGATATTTGGATGTTTCATTTTAGCCAAAAGAACTGCTTCCTTTCTGGAGTTCTCTACATCAGATGAAGACTGAAAATGTAAGTACACTTATATAACATACTAACGGATTTTCATATATACACATGATGCACGTTACTTTCCAAAAGGAAAATATTTTTAAGAATTGTTCTTTAGTTATTTTAAGAAGTCATTTAGAAACTTGTAAACTATCATTTTTTAATCTATGGTTTATTACTAGTTCAAGACTTCTTCATTTTTGGTTTGTTATTTTTTATTTTGAGAGGTTATTTGCCTACTTTAGTTAATGTTTTCTATTTTAACAATGCACAAGTATGTAACAAAGCAGCACACACTGCATGAACTCCGTATAAAGCCAAGTGCTCAGGTATCAACTGATCTTCAGCCTTGATAAAGCCAGTGCCTTCCACTTTGTGATTTTTTTTGGCTAGCTAGGCACAGAGAAGGTAAACTAAATAACACTACCAGCAACGATATGAGGCTAATGTCGTCATTAGGTATTGCAGATGAAATCTGCGTTCTAGTGAAATCAATGGGAATCCAGCCAAGGGTATCAGGGGAACAGGGGTTTCCTTCTACACTTCCCAAAATGTAACCACATACCTTTTGAAATAGATCAGATACTGATACTTTTCTTATTATCAACAACATCGACTCAGACATAGCTATATAGTAGCCATACCATGCACTGTAGAATACACAAAACTCTCAGCAAAAATATGTTTCAGATATATATCCAGAATTATGATTTTTTTTTTAAGTGGTGGGTGAGGTGATGTACATGTCACACTTACCATGGGAAGTCTTATTTCCTTCATTGCATATTTCTGGTTACTGATTCTATGATGAACTAGGAGAGCTCTGCCAAAGGATCCCTCGCCTAGTACTTTCAACACTTTGTATTCTTCCATTCTTTATAAGCCTATGTCCAACACTTCCCTTCAAGCACTCTCTTTCACAGGATGATAATCTAAACTTTGTCATGACCTTGATTCATTTTTTGAAATTTGTCGTTAATATAATCTGCATGAGAAAAGAAAGCCCACAAAATAACGAGAATGAGTGATAATGTGGGTACCTACAACTGTTTAGCATTAACATAAAAACAATTTCCACTGCTGTTAGCACGAGGCCTTCAGAAAGTTCAATTCAAGGTATCATAGTGTATCTCTGCTTTTTTTTTTTATTTTGAATGCTAAATCTCTTTGAAAATGTAAATTACAGACCTACAACTTAGCATCTTCTTTTTGTTACCTGCACCTCTGCAGGTGGTTTCATAATGCTAAACAAAACTCACAGGCACAATAATATAAACAATAAGCTTCAAGCTTCCAGTGACAACTCTCACCTAAAACAGAGTGAACAGGATCAAACTGGAAGTTACTGGCATTCGTGCACCAAGACCTCAATGTCTGGCAGATTAGAATAGGATTTGGATAAGGGTAGAATCATAGAATGGTTAGGGTTGGAAAGGAACTTAAAGATCATCAAGTTCCAACGCCCCTGCCATGGATAGGAGTAGGGTAGGGTAGGATAGGACAGGACAGGACAGGACAGGATAGGATATTCAGCTGGAAGGGACTTACAACAATCATCTAGTTCAACTGCCTGACCAAAGACTAAACCATATTATTTAGGGCATTGTCCAAATGCCTTTTAAATACTGACAGACTTGGGGCATTGACCGCCTCTCTAGGAAGCCTGTTCCAGTGTCTGACCCCCCCCCCCCCCGTAAAGAAATGCTTCCCCCTGTCCATTCTGAACCTCCCCTGATGCAGCTTTGAACCTTTCAAACGCATCCTATCATTGGATTTACAGACGATGGGCTTTCTTCAAAATCTTGGTATTTTATTCACCATTCAAACGTTGCTTTATGTACATACCTGTGCGCATACTGTGTTTTAATGGGCCGACTAGTTGATTTTACAAGGCATCTCAGGGCTCAATTGTTCCTGAAAGGAAAAAATGCCAATTTACTCAGAGTTTGAAAAATAAACCCTCTGATTAATTTACCTTAAAACTCTGCAGGCATCTAAATGATTACTAAGGATGGTGGGAGCGGGCACACTCGGTGTGTGCTTCCCGTTCACAGCAATTACACCTGGTAGCTACCGCTCCCTGAGGAGGAGAAGCCCAAGGCCACCCCGATCCCCTCAAGCCCTGCCGGGCCCTCAGCGCGCGAGGCGCGGAGGCGGTACTCACCTCAGAGGACGGCGCAAACCGCCGGGGCCTACGCCTGCAGCCTGAGGAAAAAGCGCTCGGCCAGGCCTTGCTCCACGGCCAAACCGGGCAGCACCGCCAGCCTCCCCACGCTGGGCTGGGCTGGGGGCGGAGGGACGTGAATAAGGACGGCCTCTGAGGCAGCGCCCTCGGTAGCCATGTCAGAAATTGCTGTCAAGTGCCACAAGCGGTTTCTCGGCTGGCTGTTGGGAGGATAATTTATACCAGAGCTGAGCACTAGTGACTGAAGTAGGTGAAGCCTTAGGCAGCATGAATTTTACTTTAACCTTTAATACAGAAATGTAACCAGTAGGTAAGGAAGTGTAAGTAAAACTTTAACTACAGGAGATTCTGTAACAAAAGATAAAGAAATGAGTCACGACAAAACCAGCCGCAGCTGCTTGCAAAGTATAGAAGCCTCTGGCAGTTCTGTTTGCTTTCTACTGTTTTCTTTTTTTCCATGCTAGAAAAAGCATTTACACTTCACAGGCTTCCAGGTTTAAAAAAAACCACAAAAACAAACAAAAAAACCCCCACAAACATATCACCCTGAGCCTGACTCCATGCAGTCCCAGTCACTGCCCATGACAGAGCAGAACCGGCACAACACAGATGCCCTGATCAGCATATGATCCACACATCACAGCAGAGTTGAATCCTCTACAACAGAGAAACCAGGGGAGCCTGCCTGGACCATGTCCTGACTGGGACGTATTTGATCCTGTGTTACTCCTTGTAGTACTACAAGTGGATGCTTGTATTCGCTTGGCAGCAGTCAGGAGGGTTCTCTGAAGAAAACATAGTGCAATAGTACATCTAAAGTTTGGTTTCTTGTTACACGCAAAGAGCATGTCCCTTCTGCAAACAGAAGGTTCTAGCTAGCCATAAGGACCAAAGTCTGTTTAATACCAAGATCTGAATGCTCAGCTAAGGTTTAAATTACAGTTAATGCATACTGAAGATATGGAAACACTCACATTGTTCTGGTCTGACAGGTCACTTCCAAGAACAGACAGAAATAATGTTCAGAATTCCAGTCTCAGGCCTATAGCCACGTGCTGCAATAAGTTTCCAGCCTAAAGCCCAGTCCTGGGTCCAGCTGGGATAAGGTTAATTTTTCACAGAAGCTGGGAGGTGGGCATAGCCAAAGGAATATTGGATACCATGCTGAAGTCATAGCCAGGATATAAGGGGAACTAGGCAGGAGAGGGGTTTCTTTTGTGAAGCTCTTGGTGGTGAGATTTCCATTGCATCAGTGTTTTCATTGTATTCTGTATCTTGTCTTATTATTATATTCTTCTTTTTCCCCTCGTGTTGTATTATTAAAAATCTGTCATTATCTCAAGTCATGAGGTTCCACTTTTCTTATCCTTCCCCATCTTACTGGGAGGGAGAAAGTCAGGCGGGGGAGGGAGGGAAGCAACTGTGTAGTGGTGGCTGTGACCCAAGACAAGCCCATAAATAAAAACCAAATACAACACAGTTAATTAGTTTAATTCATCTACCAAATTACAGACAAATGCAAACAAACACTAGAACAGTCACACAGTAATTAGCGTATCAGACGTCATCTAAGGCAGATGACTTGATCAGGAATAATCCCAGTAACTAAAAGGATTAAACTCAGTTTTGTCAGAATACCCCCTAAAAATGGATATACAAGTTTAAACTTAGTGTACATCTTACTAGCTGGTTTCAGTTTTCAAAACTAAATGTTGCTGTAGTAGACATTGCCCTATTGGAATGCCTACATTATTTTTGTTTCTTAAACTAAAAGATTATGCAATTTAAAGAATTTACAGGAATTGCAACAGAAAAACAGTAGATATGAGCAATATACTACAAACTGTTATATGAAGTGTTAAACCTAATCCTTAATTCAGTATTTAATGAATCGTGTTTAACATGCAGACACTAATGTTTATATGTACTAAAACAGGTCAGATTTACCACTTTCGAAAAGGCAGAAACTTATATTCAAAAGTTTAGTGACTCAGGCAGTCAAATTTCATCTTAAGCCATCCATGCAAGTTGGATGCATGGAGTTGCATAGCTCCTCTCTCAAAACTGCTAAAAACACCCTCTCCCCTTAAAACAAATACAATCTTTAACTCCCATGTAGCATTAATGCTACTTTTTACTCTTGTACTTCAGCACTTGTTTCTTTGAGAGCATTGTTCTGTTTGTGGATAAATGCAGTGGCTTTTGATTCCAATTCTCCCAGCTGTTCAAATGAAGAGACACAAGGATCTTGATCTTTAACAGTATCCGACAGCTTGCACATCTTCTCCCGAATGCGTTGAGAATATCGCAAAGGGGTTACAATTTTCAGGTCTTTAGCACTGGAATCATTTGCCTCATGGTGCATCTTCACACTTAGGAAAAGAAAAAAAAAGTCAGTAAATATAGGCACACAGTCATACTTTTGATACCTTTGTAGCATCTAGCAGAAACAGCAAGTCATTATTCTTACTCAACTCCGCCATTTTCTTAGACAAAGGAAACAGGTCCTTGCCCATTCATACAGTTAAAACCAGATGTACAACTCTTTTCTTGGCCTAAACATTTTAATCTGGAGAACCTCCTGAAAAGAGTTTCTCAAGGAAGATTTCCCCCCATTCTGTCAGAGGGGAACTGTTCTTCCTGCTATGAGGGATAGCAGACAGCTGCCAGGAGTCCAGCTTCATCAGATGCCAAAGCCAAGCACAACTTTCCTAAGCCTGCTATCTTAGAAGAAAACTTGTAGCAAAAAAGAATTTAAGTATTATCTGTTTTGTCCTTAGATTACTACCCAAATTTTTGCTTCAAGATACAATTAAGATAACATTTACAGGACAGTCACATCTTGTTCACCTCTTCTGTGTTGTATGACATACTACCCCATCTAGATTTGAAAAGGGGAGGACTGGAAACGCAAACTTTCTCTTTACCTAATTGAGTATAGAACTGCTGCTGCCATGTGGGCTTTGGGAGGGGATCCTAAACCTGTAATTTATGCCTCTGCCACAAAGATCTTTGATTACTCTGTGGTGAGGCATCCAAAAAGCAAAACATTTTGAGTAAATAGAATAGTTTATTTTAAAATACTTTCTTCTGAAGGAAGAGGAAGCAGTCCTAAAAAAAAAGTTCTGAGAGCTTTTACCTAGATGTTCACCAATGCAGTGCCTCCCAGTTTCAACAGGACACAAACATTCCATTGCCCCAGACACTGCAAACTTTCCATAGTTACCTGAAGTAATCTTACCTTTCCAAATTTGGCGTGGTAGACGGACTGTATCTTATTAAATAAGATGTGTCATTTTCCTTCTCAGGAGAATTAACTGCTTGGGCTATATCTTTTACTCCATCTTCATTCTGCTCTTCTGCTTCACATTTTCCTTTCTTTTTTGTACGTTCTTTAGTCTTGTGCTTTTTATTCTTTTTTGGCAAGATCTCTTCCCTTGGTTTCCAGTCTAAATCCATTTCTTCTTTTTTGATCACTTCACTGCTAGTCTCTGCCTTCTTGTCATCACTCTCTGCTTTTTGGTCATCATCAGAGCAGAGATCTTTGAAGGCCTTCTGAACCTGCTCTACAGGTGAATTTGGTTCATTGCTGACTTCCACTACCTCACTTAAATGAGCTTCTATCACAGTTCCCCCTAAAATTGAAATATTGAAGAAAGTAGAGCTGTGATTAGTTACAACTAAAGAGAAGTTAATGTTTTAGAGAGATCTCTGAAATCTTAAATCTTTACATGAGAATTAAAGTTATGTGTTGAGTCTGAGCCACAGCAATTTAACTTACTAAGAATTCTAGTCACCTTAAGAACCCACAAGCTGCAAACTCAGGCTAAGTACATCCTGAGAAGTAATTATCTTCCTTCCCAAGAGCAGCGGCTCTGAACAAGTATTTCAGTCAGTTTCTGGGAGCAAATACTTGTCAGGTTATTTTATACTGAATGGGAATTTATATGGCTACTTTGCTTCCGAAATTGGAATATTTACCCCATTAACTGACACTATGCTATAACATGACCATCCATCTGCTAGTGAAGGAGTTGGTGTCAAAGAGGCAACTAATTTTTAGCTCACAATAATGTTTTTATTTACGTTGATTATTGAGCTAAAATAGCTGGACAACATTGCTTTGATAGAGTTTAAGTAGAAAGTTTGAATATGAAAGCATCTCCACTACTCATTAACATGCCCACAATTGCAAAGGATTAGTTCTTTTCAAAGACAGTTGAGTACAAAATAAGCAGAGAGAAGTGTCTGTGAAACTGAATTTAATATAGGCACAAATAGTTTAAACAGTTAGCTTGTGTTGCCTGTCAAGCCAGACATTTAATGAGAATACTCAGACTTACCATCTTCAGACTTAAAAAGGCTTTCAGTATTTTTCATAATATCTATTAGTGTGTGTCGTAGTTCATCTTTAGGCTGGAAAAAAGTTGTATTGGTTTAGAAAAACATTTCCAAAATTAATCATAATTTCATCTTATTTGGTATAACAGTTACAAGGAAAGTGTCACAGACCACATGATGTTCGTGTTACAAACCCTTTATTTAATGTTATCCAGACATAAGTCAGAACACAAATGAATCCTGTATTTGGTGCACTAAGGCTGTATTTGATGCCCTGAAATCTTCCCGATTAAAGCATAGGAATTAAGTTTATCAGCAAATGTAAAATTAAGTTCTGTTTTGGATTTCTAGTGATACTAGAAGTCTCAGTACTTAGTTTCTTCTAGGCAGAACATCCTATGGTATTTTGGTGATCCTGAACCTTTCTTCTTGAAAGTAGCAAGCTTCTACAGTCATTACAGAGCAAACCAAATAAATTTTTTAATGTTCAAGTAGGTCACATGATTGTTCTACTATAAAGGATTTATTAAAATCAGAAGTAGTTGTATTTTATATACTGTACTTTTGTGCCTTTATATTTGCTGATCTCAAATTTCAAGACAAGCTGCTCACCATTGCTCCTGCCAAAATGGCCTCCTCATAGACTGCAATAAGATTTTCAAGAGGGCCCATCTGTTCAAGACGCATACAGCAGATCCAATATTTTGCAAGCTTTTTAGCCCCAGGAATGCTCTGTGTCAGATCTTCCAGCATGGCACGTACTTCATCACCTTGACATCCCTAAAACCAACACAAGAGCAGAGATTTAAATGCAGTAAACATTGTGAAGGGCTGTATTTTAGCTGGTTTTGGACTAGAAAGCAAGTATTTTTTTTTCTTTCTTCAGAGAGTAACCCTGAAAGTTGAAGATAGCAAGTATTTCCAAAACTGAACTATGAACTTGAGAAGAATTGTCATTCACCTGTTGTTCCAAATGAGAATTATTTATACAGTACTGTAAGTAGAAGGGATAGTAGATTACACAGAGATCTTCAGAACTACTCAAAACAGACTTTTTCAGAAGTTCAGGCAAGTTTCTGCAAATGCAAACTTGTTTTAATTACTTCATAGCTACTCACATTATAGCTTTTATACTTTATTAGGTTACCATTATTGCTTAATCTTATTGGGTAGTTCAGTAAGTTAGCAAAGCTTCAGTGAGAACTAGTTTCTTTGTTTAGTGTTGGCAAAAAGCTATGACACTTAAATTGTGGAGCAATTAGCCCCCTGCAACCGATGCACAGGTCCAGTGCATCCATACGACTTGTGTGTTGTAGGGACCTATATGATTAGAACTTGGTAGGCAAGGGACTGAATACCTGTTTGATTAACTGCAGACATTCTGTGAGAGTCTTGTTGACCTTTTCACTGTGTAATACATGCTCTAAAGAATCACCAGAAGAGAATTCTTCTTCTTCACTTTTAGACTGAGGTCCCAGAAGCACAGATATAGGAGGTCTCCTCAACACTTTTCCTCTACATGCCCTCCATTCAGCCAGGCGAGCTCTGCGTTTAAGAATATTATTAGCTGAAGTGACAGATGTATCTTTTTTTTATATTGACTGACACTAAGTAGGGTAAGTAATAAAAAGACATGCTTTCCACATAGGCCTCAAGTCCTCTCATTTTAATCCTAAAAGGAATACAGGTGTCATTTAGATCTGCATGGAAATTTCAGAACCATGCATCTCACTATCTGCTTTAGGTATCTATCAGGTCAGAAACCTCAATCTCTCACTTTCCAGCAGCAACGAGAGACTTAGGCTACAGACCCTTTCTTTCAAGAGAGGGTTAAAAATGCTTCCAATTTATTCATCTGTGCACCTCTCTTCCTCACTCTTACTTCAAACCAGAAAACTAGAAACTATCTCTAAAGGGACAAAGCATGGAGAGCAGCCCAGAGCAACCTTATCACAAAGCTTTTAAAATCTGAAACTGATTTATAATTCAATCTTCATATACATTTTATTTCAACTCCATCCCCCTAGACCACTAATTTTTAGCAAGTGTGACTTTCTACAAGGAGCTCTACCAAGAACACTAAACTTCTGGATTAGAATCTTCACCCCATTGTCTAAGCTGCAGTCACCAACCTGAAAAATAAGTCATCAACGAGTGCTCTCCTTCAGTGGCATGCGTGCACAATTCACTTACGGGATTATCTGTCATGCCTAAGGCTGTCACAACACTTAGCCTAAAAACCAGAGAGTTTGAGCAATGTGCATTTCTATTTATAACGACACAGGACAAGCTGTAAGCCTGAAGAGCTGCTGCAATGAGTCTGAATCCTGATTTCTCACTATTCTACTATTAAGCCTACAGTTTTAGTCTGCTGCCCTTGGGCATCAAGTTCAAACACTCAGTTCTCTCATTTTTCAGCGCATCTACAGCAAGACATATATAAAAATAGATATTCCTGGAAAGAAGGCCTAAATACCTCCCAAGATCAAGCTACAACAGTGAATAATTCGGTTACCTTCTCTCTTCTGCTGACTCTTTTGGCAGAACAGATTTTCTGTTGCCATTAGTTTTAGAATCCTGTCCCAGCTTTGTACCAGGAACAACCGAAACTGGTTTTGCTGGAGCTTCCAGTCTTGCATCATCACAAAAATCTGCACATTTCTTCACTCCTAGTGCTCTGCAGTCAGAATTGTTAGAAGCAACCTTCAGTGGCTCTGGTCCCCTTCCACCAACCATTTTTTGGACTGTTACTTTCTTTGGCACTACAGCAGATATTGGTTGCCATTTCTTCGGGTTGGACTGTGAGTTAATAGCAGCTTTGTCAGATGGTTTGCTCTGGAATGCTGCTGGTTTGATGGCAGAAGGAAGATGCTTCTTGCCTGGCAAAGAACTATTTCCCCCCTCACTTTTTGGTGCTTTTCGGAAGGAGTTTATCTTGGATTGGATAACTTTGCCACGATATGTACCAAGCACCAGTTTCTTCGGTAAGCTGACACTTGAATTTTGTTTTTCTGCAATCAGTTGCTTCTCTTTTATGCTTTTTGTTTGCAGGAGGGACTTGCCAAGGGACGCATGCTGAGATTTTATTTCAGTAACTTTAACCTTGGAAACATGATCTTCAGGATTATAGTTTGTCCCCAATATGGAATTTGTCAGTGTGATTGTGGAAGAGTTTAAAATAACATTTTTTTCTGAGGTTCCGCTTGATTGGTCCCATGACAGTTTATTAGCATTCTCTTTATTTTCCTGAAATCAAAAGCATATCCACGGAGACGTTAGAAGTACATTCATGCTACATGTTACTTTTTTCCAAAGAGGCTTTCACTCATTTACAGGACTAAAGTGATTAACAGTAAATGCCACTTTTAAAAGTATCTACAAAAGTAGTGTATATATACCAAGTAGAATATTTTTCAACTATTATTGCAGAATTCACATTAAAAAAAAAAATCAAATAAGGATTATTTAAATTCTGCCTTAGAAGTAAGAAGGCCTAACCTGAGGGCTACACTCTTCTTACAGAAACAATGCTCTTAAAGTAATTGCTGGCTTTTAACTGCCAAAATCACCTTCTGAGAAGAGTCAAAGTAGAAATTTGCTTTAGGCGGTCATCTCAGTTTGCATACCCCATCACTTTATGGCAGCACCATTTTTCTGCTTAGTGTGGACAGCCTACTAACACAAGGTAGTGAGTAAAGCCTTTAATTAAGGGCATTATGGTATGTTACTGGAAGAGTTTTGCCTACTAATGAGCTGTCGGATGTTGTAGTTAAGAATAGACATGCGAGTTTTAGATGGCCCTACTACGCCCTGAAACTCTCAACTGTATGTTCTCAGCATAACCCTAGCCCAGAGGCCATGAGAAGTGCAACCTAGTCTTTTCCTCCAAAGAAGATGCTTTACAGCAACTAATTCAGCATTGTCCAAGCAGCAGCTTATGGAAGAGTAAAAGATCCAAAAGCAGGAAAAAAAAATATGTGAATGGCACATGGAAGTCTACAGAAGCTGATACTCTTCTCCTTTAAGGAAGATCTTCAATTGTAAGAAAACTACACTACATCTCATTTCCTGATCTGTCATCAGGCATAGGAGTTAGTTTTAATCCAGCCAATAACTAGATCTTTAGTACAAGGGCTGCTATTTGAGGAAGCTGTATAGTTTAATTCAAGTTTAAAATCACACAGGACATTAACACAGACCAAAATATCTCCCTTCAGGAAATTTCTAAAACACCTTTGTTCTCACTTTTGGAATTTTTCCCCTCAACACTCAGTTTTGAAGTTCTAAGGTTTTTGCTTTCCTCCTCAAATAACCCCAAGTCTTTCAGAACCCAAAATCCAAACCTGAACACAGGTTCTGTGTCTAGTTTTTTTCCTCACCTTTCCCTGAGAACAGGTCTGGAGAAGAACCTGTATTTTGCTATTTCTAAGCAGCATAACCATGTGCATCTTAATTCTGGAAAAGTGACACAAAATAATACACAGAAAACATTCCCTTGAAGTCTGATTAGGTATTAGCACCTACTTCTGATTATATTAAATTTCCCAGCATCACAACTGAAAACACAAATACATTCAACAGTTAGTTTTGTTAGGTTTTTTTTCCCCCAAGTAACAGGGTACCATAGAAGAATTCTCTATTCTGACAGAAGACCTTGCTCAGGTTTTAAATAACTTCCCTGAAGACTGAAAATAAATCCAAAAAGTTCTGAGAGTCTCAAGAAAAGCTGCTAAAATTGAATCATTATTTCAGCAATAATGGTATTCTCTTTAACTCCCTGTTCAGCCAAGTACAAACTGAATATCAATATGATCCATTATGTACAGTAATGCAGTAGCTCTCTAAAATGAATATATCAAGCAGTCACTGAATAAAGTTTTAACAAACTGTACCTCTACATCTGCAAACTTCTCACGCTCTGGAAGTCATGTAACTTAAATACGGTTTAAGTGAGTGGAATGTTGTAGCCACAGAGTGCCATCAGTGTTTGAGTATCAGTCAAAAACTTACCATTCCTGGCTTTGGAGCTTTTGAGAGCTGTATTTTTTCTTGCAGTCTATTGCTAGTCGCTCTCCTGGTTCTGCTACTGCTTAAAAAAAGAAGATATCTTAAATCATCCTGCAACATAACAAAGGAATGTATTTTTAGAGTAAGTTCATGTGGTCCAGGTGGCAGGCTGAACTCATACTGAAGTATTTCTGTTCAGCTTGTACTCTTCCTCCAGAAAAAAAATAAGTGGCTAAGCAACCACTCCTCAGGGCCCAGGCTGCAAAACATCCCTTCTTGCACCATAAAGAACTGGCTCATAGAAGGAAAGAAAAAAGAACAAACCCTATTACTGCAGGTGCCATTTACATGTTTAAGGATGAGCACCAGCCTGATGCATCTGCTACAGGTCAAGTTTCTAAATGCTGCAGTTGAGGGGAAAGGGGGAGCAGCACAAGGAGTTGAAGCTCAGGTACTACAATCATCAGACGCCAGGCCACTAGAGGTGAGTCTGAACAAGGATACATAGTTCCTGCCACACTGAGAGGTTCCAAGACTTGCAGTCAAGCACCAGAGCTGGCATCAGACTACCCAGTGAGTAACGAAACCACCAAGACCAGTATTGTCTCCTAGCAACTACAAAAATATTTACAGCTCAGAAGACAGACATCTCAGTTAAAAGTTACAAATCCAAATTCTTCCTCAAATGCTTCATGATGCGTTACATGAAACAAGTGGCACTATTGCATGCGACTGAAAATTCCAGTTAGCAACTGATATCTTCGCATCAGATGACCTTCTGGAGGCCAGCTGAGTTGAAAGTGAAGGTACGCTAGTGAAAATAAAGATAAAAATACATCAGTGGCTTTGGAATACAGGAGAAAGTCTGCATCACACTATCACCTCTGTGTCATCTGTGATACAGAATACACATTAAGGGAACTGATCAGAAGTCAACAGTGTGGAATAGTAATAGCTTCACAAAAGCAAAATATCCGCAAAATAAAAGTATTAGTCATACCCACATACATGATGGCTCTAAACAATGAATTAACTGAAGACTAAGAAAAGCCCTGGAATTTAATAGCCAGAGAATAAACTGAAAGCAAGGAAAACTAAAGTAGATCAAATGCTAAATTAAGAGTATTGCTACAATTAAAGTAGTTGGCACTGATTTTCTAACGCAAGATAGCTTTCTGCAACATGAAAGCACTTGCCTTTTCCTGCTACATAGAGCAAGTCTTTGGCAGATTATCTTTATCCTTGTTAATTATGCCTATTTTATATTCAAAGGTCATTGTTCAGTTCGATTTGTATTACCAAGTAGTCCTGTGCTGTTGAGCATGGGACCATGCCACCTCACATATACAGAATGGTGAGCAGGACTTCCCATTTAGATGGAAGCAAATTTCAGACAGATTTACTATTTGCAAAAACATTCAAGTGACAACACTACGCCATGAAAGCTACACCACCTCTCTAGTTAGAGGTAGAACCTTCTGTACTCCTTCACACCACTGTCTTGTCTAGAGAAACTTCTGTTGCTTGTTGGAAGATCTTATACTACATGTCCAGACTTGAGACAACAGGAGGAAGATTTAGATACAAGTCAATAAAAATAAGCACTACTAATTGGTAACAGGTGTCCACATTCTGTTTACAGAACATTATGTCTATCTGCTGGCCATCACACAGGCTGGGTATTATTACAGTATATTTGTTTTTTAGCAGAAAATTGTGAATTAGTAAATACAAAAATACAATGAAGCTAGATCAAGTGGATAGTGAACACTTGCAGCATAGCCCAAGTAGAAAGAGGGGGGGAAAATTATTTGCAGAAGGAAGGTTATAGAGGCAGACAGCAAAGTGGCATCTGAAACAAGAGCTGAAGGCATCCTGCCCTGTCTCAGTCTCTAGAGGAGCAGTAATACACTTCATGAATTGCATCTATTATGCATTTGTTTAACAAAAATTTGTAGTATTTGCTGACAGTAAAAGCACTTTAGGAAATCCGTGCGGTGGCCAGTCTTGTTGCATGGTCTCACCTTTTGGTTGAAGTTCTCTACAAGACCTGCTATTTACATCGTTCCCACCAACCATGGACCTTTCTAAAGGAATGTAAACCATAGCAGAAATACTACCTGATCGATGTCTGGTTTTCTTGAATGGGCACACCAGAAAAGGTCTTTTTGCTTGATAGATATTCTTCAACTTTTTGTCGTCTTTGTTCTAGTGGGTTTAAAAAAAAATAGACTTACTACATTTTCAGCTAAAATAGTAATGCAAGATAAATTTTGCCTCTTAGAAAAAAGGAAGTGCAATTAGTAAAGCATCAAGACACTATAAAACATAGATACTGTGGATTAAGAAAGTCTTACTGTAATATTCACATCTTTGATGTCTTACACATTCTTTAGTTTCTTGAGAAAGGCTATATTCAAGGGGCGGATTAATGTAATTTCACATCTATACAAGATGACTGTTCGTCTGCATTAAGCTGAAAGAAACATGATTTTGTGATCTGAAGAAATCAGGCTCTCAGGCTCTTTCTTTTACCTTCTGGATGCTTGTCCAGTATTTCACACACTTACTGTTGTCTCAGCCAATACACTTTTCAGTTGTGAGAGTCACTACTGTAAGTACAGCACACATGAAAGACACTGTGCACATGAGCCCTACTGACCATCTGTGAAATCGCTTGCTTCTCTTCCATTGTCAGGTGGGCATCTGCACAAATGTTGGACCAATGGGAGCATTAATAACAGCACAAAGTGATCCTGAAAAGGTCCTAAGCCAGCTGTCGCTGTCTTAATACAGAAAGTCATTCCAGAACGGGATACTATTTCCCATGTTTTTGCAATTTGACTGCACACCAGAGAGTGTGCAGAGTCCTTCATAGGACTACATTGTTGATCTTTTTTCAGAGACCTTTCCTTATTCCTGTAAGGAGCTAGTGACCTTGGCTTGCTGGAAGCAGCTGGGTTAAGATGGTCCTGCCACTCAAAGCAAGCTCAAGCATCCATACAGCCAGTCTAGACAGTTGAGACAGTCTTCCAACTGTTTCACATGCAGTGGGATGTGACAGCAACAAGTTAAAGCGTTATCTTTGACTCAGAACAACAATTCCTTTATAGCATTCAGGAACTCATGGCATTGCACCATGCTCCATCGTAGACAGGCTCATTCCACAGTGAAATTCTTCAGTGAACTCACATATAAAACCCAACTTCTGCCCTTCCTAGGCAGGCATGAGTTCCCTCTTGAATATTATTTGCATGTGTTCTTTATCTTTCCGTTGTTCTTAATTCACACTTCAGAGATCTCTGCAAGGTCTACCAACATGTTCCCTCAACACTGATGTATTTCTGTATTACTGAAGTTCAGACAGCAGAAATTGTTAAAACATTATTGTCTTTGAGGACCTGAATGTTAATCCTGAAAAGAAGTAAGCATTTGATTGCACACTCTCTGTGGTAAAAAAGCTGTCATCCCACAGAATGGGGTAACTACTCTCAGAACCTCCTCCTAGTAGTTCTTTCTCATGCACTGACACACTAAAGCCTGAAACACACAGCCAGCAGAGTGGATTGAGGCTTAGGCTTGCTGCAGCACTGTGTTTCACTTAGGATATAGTGCTTTTTTTAGCACAGCTGTTCAAGCCCATGCCGAATGAAGCCCGAGGGGGAGTGTACATCACCTGCTTCTGAAGAGGCACACACCAAAGCTGTACCTGCCAAGAGATGCTGCACACAGCAGCGAGCTCAGCATGCGCCCTGGAGCCTTCCAGTCGCTTTCTGCTTCAGGAACTCTGGTCTCACCGACTCCAAACAGCAAAATCCCATCAAAGCAAACCAGTTCGTTTAACTTGCAGAAGCCAAACCGGTCAGAATGTAATAAACAGAAGAGTGCAGGTCTAGATCGGAGCATTCGCTTGTTTCAATAGGACTCTCTTAAGCTAAAGCGTGCATTTTATCACCAACAAAGGCTTTCACTCCAGAAGTGCTGCCTGGAGGGGCGAGCAACGGCCCCAGCCCTGCCAGGGGAGAGTGAAGCCTCATCGACCTGCTC